CAAGCCCCGTTCTGTTCGCATTCATCCAGCTCCATTCTCTTCAGCTCTGGCTTTTGTAATAAGTGATTCTCCTTCTGGCTTGTGTCCCAGGCAGCTGCTTTGTGGCCAAAGTTAAGTGCTTCCCACTGGCTGCATGTGTCTGCTCAGTGGTCATGTTCTGAGAGTGATGAGCCCAATCTAAATTCTAAACTAGGAGGGGGATCTGGTTTGTCCTCCCCAAATGCTCGCAGCAAATTTCCCTTGTTTTGTTGGTTTTCTTCAACACCTACCCTAAAAAAGACGAGAGAATATCATTCTTGCCCATTTGATAACATTGTACATTTTAGGGAACAGTTGAATACTTTTGCCTTGTGGGCTAATATTTATGGGCGAGAAGCTCTTAAAACAATGTGTAAACTTGAATTCACACAGTAGTTGTATTAAGGAGCTCAAAACAGCTTAAATGGAAACAGTGTAAATTGTATTTTTAAAACATTTTAACTCCTGTGTCTTTGATTAGGGTCTCATCACTGTTCACAGTTTTTAAAACTTAACTTTTCTTTGGTTAACTGCAGAACTCCCACGGACCCAGACTGATTATGAGAACAGCCTAACCATGAAGATGTTCTTATTCCAGTTTGTCAACTACTACTCCTCGTGTTTCTACATCGCCTTCTTCAAGGGCAAATTCGTAGGTTATCCTGGAGATCCAGTATATTGGCTGGGAAAATACAGGAATGAAGAGGTATGAACACAGAATTATATTCCCAAGACAACTGAAGACAGTTTCTTCATTGTACATGCTTAGATTTTTTTTCCAGCCTAAAGTGAAGATCGGAAAAATTAAAATGAGTGATTCTGTTTCATGTTAGAGCCATCTAAATTCTAAATGAGATTCTTTTTAATATTCCAGTGTGACCCAGGTGGCTGTCTCCTTGAACTGACAACGCAGCTGCTGATAATCATGGGAGGAAAAGCAATCTGGAATAACATACAAGAGGTGTTACTTCCGTGAGTGTCAAGTCGTGTAATCCGGGATGTGGGACAGGGGATAACAGAGCCCACCCAGCCAAGTCTTTTGCCTGCATGTCCATGTAACTGCATGTCTACCTCTAAGGTAGCGTAGACTCGATGCTTATTAAAGGTCTCCGACAAGAAGGTCCAACCAACAGTGTAAACATGTCTGTGTTTACACCTTCATTTCCCGTAAGCCCATGGCTACAGATTATAGGGACCTGACGTTTGCCTTCCGATGTTTCTTCTCCTGATCTAAAACTGTGTGTTTTGAATCATCTTTTCTCTTGTTTGAAAACTGGGAATGCTAAGTGTTAGCCAAGTTAGAGAGTGACTCAGGCTCTTCTGGTCACTGCTTCTTCTCTGTGTATAGACCAGGGGTCCTCAAACTACGGCCCGT